TACAGGATTAATTTAGCAAATTAAATCTCCAGATGTAGACTTAATAATAACAAATAACGACATTACAACTTTTTATTTTATTTTTTTACACAAAATTTATTTATATGCCTATTAGAGCATAAAAGTGCATGTTTTTACATATTGTATGTTTTTGTTTCACTTGTTAAGTAGGCTAAACAAAGTACTTTAAGAAAATCACAAGTTAACGGAATGTACACACAATATCTATAGGCTTATGTTGTATGTTTTCATACAGTGTATGCTTTTTCCTTTATTGGTATCCGAAGCACTTAGAAAATCAGAAGTTAAACACTGCCTAGAGAAATTGTAATAAACATTCAGCTCAACAATGTAACATTTGAAAATTCCATACACTGTTATCTTTAGAAAGTTAGTTAAACATAACACAGTATTCACATGTTTTAAGTGCTCAATTTTAATTAATTGTGCATATAATAAATGTTTTCTTAATTTTATGGGAATGCCCATGCAATTCATGGAATAATTAGTTAACAAAACTATTATTAAAGTGATTTGAATTAGGGGGTTGAATGTAGGTAACAGGCTTATAGCGCAAAAGCATATAATGAAAATGTTATTTTCTATACTTAATTTCAAAAACAAATGTTAGTAGTCTTGCTAAAAAAAGAGAGGAAGGAACACAATTCCAAACTCCTTTAGCAAAAGAATTGTCATGTTTAGGTTCTGTGCAGATTATGCAGTGAAATCTTGTCTGTCTGTCATTATGGAACACCGAAGTTCCTTTGTTATCCTCTGTCGAATCAATTACAAGTCACATGAATTTGGATTTCCAGTCATCAGTTGTTCTTTTTTGTGAGTGAGACCCCAGTATGTTTTGATTTTTGGTAGTTACAATTTGTTCAACATTTAGTAGAACTGTGTCAATTACCTCTGTGCAGATTTTTTCAGCAGAATTTACGTTACTGTCCACTGGCTTAAAATATTTCAAAATGTTGCTTGGTTTTACAACAGCCATGATACAGTCCACATTACTCCACATTTTACTGCAGTTATATCATAGGTGTTTTTTAAACGAAAGAAAAGAGGGAGTGCCTAGTATCATTATTTTCAAAAAAACTGGACAGTAATTGGTTATGAGGTAAATAGATCTTTCACAAGTGCACCAAAAGAAACTTTTGGTGGTTAGAGAGCACTTATTTTTGCACCTCTACTGTGTGAACTGCACAGATCTTGCACAAAACTGTAGAAAGCTACAAGAATCTGCCTATTAATTACTCTACTACCATTAAAGCAGCAGAAACCATATTTGTTTTTCCGTGGCAGTAAAACAACTTCTCAGTATTTTTTAAGACCATAAATGGCTATTTTTGGTTGGGAATTAAGCTGGTATGCCCCTTATCTTGACCACTGAGAACGGTAGTTTACTAAGAAAAAAACAAGTGTTATGTGTATGTTGCAATATATTCTGTGATGTGTATCATAGGTTTCAGAAAGAGTAGATGTTATGCTAAAATACAGAAACAACTACACTAGGTTTCGATCAACAACTATATACTGAAACAATTGAACAGAGATTCTGTATACATATATTATAAATAATGATTACTTGCTTCCATTTAGTAGAATGTGCACACAGATGAACTAAAATAGGCTGTAAAGAAAGCAAAGCTAGAAATACCACCTAACATAAAATGGACCATTATTTTACTCCTGGAAGCTGGATATTTATTGGTTGAACTTATAAACATTGACAAGTAGGGATGTTTATGAGCATGTACACTTATAACATGGTATGCTTATACTGCTAAATTTTGCACACCCCTGGAGTTTAGAAAGCTAAAACCCATATATCTTCAAAGTTCATGGGATTCAATTGGAGCCATATCATAACTATTTACATTCATTCAAAGTGCATTTCTATTTTTCTGGGCAATTTTTGTTGCAAGCATAGTCATGTAAATTGTATGTTATGTTCTCGGAGAAGAGGATGAGTTGTGTCTGGATCATCTGTTTGTTTGCTCTTGAAAGTATTTCACTCTGGTCCATGAAAATAGTAATAGCACCAGTGGCAAATTATTGCCTTATGTTCAGTGAATTTCTGAGTTTGTCACTAATGATAAAATATGAAAAAACGAAATAGATGTGAAAAGGTTAAAAGACAAAACTATGAATACAAGTACTTTGGAATTTTGCACTGTACAACCTTTCTTTTCATTATACTTTGTTTATAGCCTGGAGAATCAAGTATACTTGTAGAGAAAATAACAGATAAATTTAAAGCTTTACTGAAAGAAAATAGTTTCTATATATTATATATATATATATATATATATTGAGGAAGTTTCAGAGGTTACATAAAAGAAATTTAAAATTATTCAGATGAAGAAAAGTATTTTGATCTCAAAATCAAAATCGCCTTGCATTGTATAGTCAACGTTCCGAGTACAAAAATTTATAAGCAAATTCAAAAGCAAATCTTTAGTTAAGATGATTAATTAAAAAACCTGATTTTTTGTGTACAAAGCTATGTTATGTTTACTGATAGTCTGAGAAATTTCATGAAGATACACATACATTATGAAAAGTTAGTATATGACTAACCTCATGATCACTTTGGTGGTTACACATTGAGTCGAATGGACATATCCTGCAACCACAGGGTTAACCAGTTGTTAAATTCTATAAGTACTCTGGACCAATTCGTTTTTGAATTTCTGTGAAGTACTTCTTTTTTTAGTTCATACTGGCTTCCAGTAAAATATTCAATCTTTATTTAAATCTATGAAAAACATCTAATCAATTGTTTCAAATGAATGCTGCAACTTTGTAAAATCTGCAATTTTATTTTAAAATAAAATGTCAATCCAAATAAGGAAGGAAGGACTGTGTATGGAGTATCAAGTCCACTGCACTTTAATGTCACCACTTCAGGAACTATTGAGAATGAACCACTAACAGGTGCAAAATGTCACTGCACTCAGTACCAACCTTAAGAATAAATAGTAGTTTAGGATTTTGAATAAAAATAACAAATTGTCTATGATTTTACAATATTCGAAACAA